AATCTGCCATTTGATGCCGCAAGGTCTAAATTGTTACTGAATATATCATGATCTCTATGGTAAAGTGAAAAAGGGAAATGATCCCTCATCATCACTGACTACTGCAAGTCATCCTTACTTGCAGTGGGAAAGTCAAGAAACAACAAAAAGCCCCACTAAACGTAATGAATGCGGATCATTACCCAGAAGGCAGTGCACAGTCTCTGGTGATCCCCACTTTAAGGGTCACCAAATTAGCATTCATCACCCATTTGTGGGTCAGTATTCATGACACATCGGAAATCTTACAAATGGGAAAGATTTCCCCTTACCTACAGCAACCAGTGCACACCTCACTGCAAAAATGACAGCCGGGAATACTAGAGTATTGAGTACAGGAATAGTAGAGTACTCCATATAAGATTACTAGAGTATAGGAATGACAATAAGGATACTAGAGTATAGGAATGACAATAAGGATACTAGAGTATAGGAATACTAGTACTAAACTATAGGAATGACAGCCAAGAATACTAGAGTATAGAGTGCAGGAATACTAGAGTACTCAGCATAAGATTACTAGAGTATAGAGTATAGGAATTACAATAAGGATACTACATTATAGGAATACTAGTACTAGAGTATAGGATCGACAGCCGGGAATACTAGAGTGCAGGAGTACTAGAGTACTCAGTATAAGATTACTACTGCTAGAATATAGGAATGCAAATAAGAATACTAGACTATAGAGTATAGGAATGGAAATAAGAAGACTGGGAGTATAGAGTATAGGAATACTAGCGCTGGGGTATAGGAATGGCAATAAGAATACTAGAGTATAGGAATGACAGCCAGGAATACTTGAGTATAGAGTGCAGGAATACTAGAGTACCCAGTATAAAATTACGAGACTATATAGAGTATAGGAACACTATTGCTAGAATATAGGAATTGCAATAGGAATGCTAGAGTATAGGAATACTAGTACTGGAGTATAGCAATGACAGCTAGGAATACTAGAGTATAGAGTGCAGGAATACTAGAGTACCCAGCATAAGATTACTATAGTATAGAGTATAGAAATACTAGTACTAGAGTATAGGAATGGCAATAGGAATACTAGAGTATACAGTGCAGAAATACTAGTATTGGGAGTATAGGAATGACAGCCAAGAATACTAGAGTATCTACCAAGACATAATATAGGCTTCAAATGTAGTCCAGCACTGCACTTTACAAAATAAGGAGCATATACAAGAAATAGCTGTAGCACTGAAACGTATGGCTTGTGTAAGAATGACAATAAGGATACTAGAGTATAGGAATACTAGTACTAAACTATAGGAATGACAGCCAAGAATACTAGAGTATAGAGTGCAGGAATACTAGAGTACTCAGCATAAGATTACTAGAGTATAGAGTATAGGAATTACAATAAGGATACTACATTATAGGAATACTAGTACTAGAGTATAGGATCGACAGCCGGGAATACTAGAGTGCAGGAGTACTAGAGTACTCAGTATAAGATTACTACTGCTAGAATATAGGAATGCAAATAAGAATACTAGACTATAGAGTATAGGAATGGAAATAAGAAGACTGGGAGTATAGAGTATAGGAATACTAGCGCTGGGGTATAGGAATGGCAATAAGAATACTAGAGTATAGGAATGACAGCCAGGAATACTTGAGTATAGAGTGCAGGAATACTAGAGTACCCAGTATAAAATTACGAGACTATATAGAGTATAGGAACACTATTGCTAGAATATAGGAATTGCAATAGGAATGCTAGAGTATAGGAATACTAGTACTGGAGTATAGCAATGACAGCTAGGAATACTAGAGTATAGAGTGCAGGAATACTAGAGTACCCAGCATAAGATTACTATAGTATAGAGTATAGAAATACTAGTACTAGAGTATAGGAATGGCAATAGGAATACTAGAGTATACAGTGCAGAAATACTAGTATTGGGAGTATAGGAATGACAGCCAAGAATACTAGAGTATCTACCAAGACATAATATAGGCTTCAAATGTAGTCCAGCACTGCACTTTACAAAATAAGGAGCATATACAAGAAATAGCTGTAGCACTGAAACGTATGGCTTGTGTAAAGCAACTGATCAAGTTGAAAAGGAACTACTAATCTCAGAGTGTCCGGTGTTTGCTGGTTCTTGTAGTTCTTCAGCAGCTTGCAGTATGGCGTTCATCCAGTCAATGAGAATACTTCTGGTATAAAACAGTGTTAGGGATAAGATCTAAATTGCGACCAGATAGCACCATTTAGCAGTTCAGTGATAATAGGCTGATAAGATGGCTTTTGATTGGCTGTGTTGTTACTTCAGAGAGCCACTGTTTCCATCACCATCACTGTGGCAGTAGGTGGAGAAAGTCTGAAGCAATGAGTGGGGAAAAAGTTAAAAAAAAAAAAAGGGACTTGATTTGACTTAACCCCACTTTCCAAGTAACAAAATAGGGTGACTGGGCGATCTCCGATCCTGGACACCAAGCGTACACCTCCACATCTTCCTCGTCCCCTCCATCAAGGCAGTCGTATTTATCTAGCTAAAAGGTGAGCAAAATGCCAGCCAGGTTCAGAAAGGCGACTCAACAGCGCCGGTGCCAGCTGAAAATGGGCTTTGGCTCTGGCAGGCAGCCCGTTCATTAAAAGCAACAGGGGAGCCAAAAGTAAATTTAACAAGTTCACTGCTGACAAAAAGCTTTTATCCAGCCACTAGCCCCACATTTCCGATGGCATCCGAAACTCCATACTGTGCATTTGTCAGGCATATGTTCCAGCAATGGTCGTAAAAAAACAAAGAAAACAAAAAAAAAAGCAAAAATGCATCAAAGTGGGCTCGGTTTATTAAGACAGGGTGAAGATCTCAGATGAGGTAACCCATGGCAACCGATCCAATGGCCCTTTACCAAAGTCACATCAGGGAAAGGATTCTGATTTTCTGCTGTCAAAGCTCTAACCTTTTGCCCTTCCATATGAGCCCACCAATTAAAGGGGGGGGGGGACCAATGTCATAAAGATCTGCAATAACCACAGTTACAGTTCTAGTCTTGTATCTATCAAAATAACTAAAAAATACAAAGAATCAAATCTGCTCTCTGTTAGATCAAGCCAACAACATCTGTATTAATGTACAGAATAAACTAATGATAACATATTAATGGAATAATGCAAAACCCTCAACAAAAAACACAGAATTCATCAACACTCCATCAGATCAAAGCAAACTCACATATCTAAAGCTAAAACATTTGTGCGAAACACAGCAATCTAAAATAGATACATCTGTGAATGAATACAACACCCCCAAACAGAAGACAGAGGTAATCAATACTGCATTATAGCAAGACAAAACCACATCTCCACACATTTCTAATAAAATAGAGAACCCTGTAATATAACTATGTCTATAAAATGATAGAAACCCCCAAACTCAATCCTGAACTCCCCACAGCAAGCCAATAGCACATCTCCATGCATCAAACATTTGTATTGAAATACAGAACCCTCAAATATATATATGTATCAAAGAATACAAAATCCCAAACAAAACATAGAATCTCTCAACATTCCATCAGACCAAGTCAAACTCACATCTCCAAACATGAAACCTTTGTATTAAAATACAGAACCCTTTAATATAAATATGTATCACGGGAGTATAAAACCCCCAACAAGACATATAACCCCTCAACACTCCATCAGATCAGACCTATATCACATCTATATACATCCAATAGAACATAGAACTCATCAACACTCCATCAGATCAAGCCAAAGTCACAGCTCCAAACATTTGTATTAAAATACAGAACCCTTATAGGTCTATAAAATGATACAAACACCCCAAACTCAATCATGAACTCCCCACATCAAGCCAATATCACATCTCCATACATCAAACATTTGCATTAAATACAGATCCCTCTAATATAAATATGTATCAGGGTATGAAACCCCCAACAAAACATAGAACCCATCAACATTCCATTAGATGAAGCCAATATCACATCTATATACATCCAATAAAACATAGAACGAATCAACACTCCCATCAGGCCAGTATCATGCCTCCAAACATTTGTATTCAAATACAGAACCCTTTAATATATATGTGTAATAAATGATGCAAAGCCTCAAACTCAATCATGAACTCCCCACATCAAGCCGAAATCACATCCCCATACATCAAAACATTTATATTAAAATACAGATCCCTCTAATATAAAATATGTATCAGAGTATAAAACCCCCCAACAAAACATAGAACCCATCAACACTCCATCAGATCAGGCCAGTATCATGTCTCCAAACATTTGTAATAAAATACAGATCCTTCTAATATAAATATACATCAGAGTATAAAACCCCCAACAAAACATAGAACTCATCAACACTCAATCAAATCAAGCCAAAGTCACATCTATGTACATCCAACAAAACATAGAATTTAGCAAACACTCCATCAGATCAGGCCAGTATCATGTATCCAAACATTTGTAATAAAATACAGAACCCCATAATAGAACTATGTCTATAAAATGATAAAAAGAATCAAACTCAATCATAAACCCTCCACAGCAAGCCAAAAATCACATCTCTAAACATCAAACATTTGTATTCTAAAAAAAAGGAAACAAAAATGTATCATAAACGTGTCCATGTAATAATACAAAAGAAACAAGTCCATGGGGGAAATGTTATAAGCAGGGAGAAGAAGATGAAACCCAGAAATAAAACATAAGCATCACCTAGAACACATCACCTAATAACAATGTAACCAAAACTCACAGAGAAAATGCATCATGTCCAAAGCTCCCCATGCTCGGAGGACAGATCGCTGGGAGCTGTCAGTGTGACACAGATCAGAAGCAGAGCAGGATACTTTTACTCAAGGAGAGAAAAAAAAAAGTTTGAGGAACTCACCAGAAGTTTTGAGAATATCCATTGGGTATCTGGAGTAGGGAGGTGGGGGGGACTCTGCAAAAGAGAAAATAAAGAAAGAGCCATGAGGAAAAAAAAAAGAGGAGATAGAGACTTGTGATAACAGCGGGCGGCATTCTTTTAGCTAAACTGTTTGTGTAAGCTCTGGGGGCTGGAAGTAGGGGGCAGCGGGCGGCGACTGCCTTGATACTAAGCAGTCTGATAAACAAAAGAGGGACAGCTGGCGCCAGGCTCCCTGCTATCAACTCCTCTGGCTGTCTGATCAGGGATCTGAGTCTGCTGCAAGCCAGCACAGCCTGATAAAACTCAACCAGTTCCACATTTCACAGACAGACATTGACCACCCTGCCCTCCCCACCACTGCTGCAACATTCACAGCCCCCCACTTTCCCCAAAACCTCTCTTTCTGCATTGCACTCTGCTGTAACTTTGATTTTATTTTTTATTTATTCATTATTTTCCCCCCATTGCACTCTGCCTTTTATTATTTTTATTTAATTCTTTTTTTTTTTTTTGCATTGCACTCTGTTTTAACTTTGCTTTTGTATGCAT